TCACCCCGTGTTTCAAGAGAGATACCGATGTTCCCAGCCAACATTCTATAACAAATACAGAAAACTAACAATGTTGACGTGAGATTTGATGAGTACATTTTTTGTTAGTTTTGGTCAATTGATGAGAAAAACACCAGTCAATTGCGGACCTCGCAAGCGGTGCAGTTCTATTCCTTAAAAACAATCCAGATAGTGATCTGAAACATTGTGTTTCTGTCCATGAAATGTGTGCACAAAGGTCGAGGGGAAGACGCAGTTGAGCAGGGAAAAAGTACAGACGGAAGATCTGTCATTATTGATCGGTCAGTGCCCACCAATATTCAGTTTCATGTTCAGACAATATTCAGATTCAGACAATTCTGCAAATTTCAGGCCCTCGGCGACAAGACACAAAGCCAGAAAAGGGATTAGGCAGAAGCTAAAGCTTATAACGCCTACCATTTAGTATTTAGTATGCATTTTAATCTTGAAAAACTGCTACACAAGTCAAATATGACATTTACCCCATGTTGATTATTTTCTGCTAACAGTATTCACAATCAACAAATGTTTGGATAATATTCCTCTTAAGCAAAATGTTGTAAAATTAGGCACGCTACAGCCAACAATTACATATTACATTTGTTCTAACAATGGGCTTTTCTAACATACCTGACACTCTCAGCAGATCAAGAAAGGGAATGTAAGGTTTTTTTTTTTTAATTCTTTCAACAACCAACCTTCAAACACAACCCCTATTCGTCATAATTTACAACTATTGGACTATATCACAAGGGCACTGCACTTGAGGTTATCAAAAGTACTGATAATTTCTGCATTAAGTAATGAAATTGAAATTAAAAATGAAATTATAGGGAGTAGGTAAACGCATTGGATCTTAAGCATACAATATGCTATGCATCTAGGAAATGTTTCACTGCTCACTGGGTTTTTGTGCACCGGAAGTCTGTGAGGCACAACAACCAATTATGTAAGATGAGATAAGATAACTTTAATTTGTCCTACAGAGGGGTAATGTTGGTGTCATTGCAGATTTTGGGCACAAGGAATAGTAATAGCATCTCTGTGATTCCCCAATGTAATCAACATAATTGATATTGTCTTGGGCTGCCAGCATTCAGCCTGTAGAACAAGCCGTGCTTGTGCCCCAGTGAGTTATCTCAGTTTGGACAGCGCCATATTTTGTCAACCCCCAATTCAAAGCGCATGCTATACTCGCTTTTTATATACTCTTGATGGCTGTGTGTGCGCTGTACATAATCATGTTAAAATATGATCTGAAAATACAGACAAATGGCAGGCATTGCAATACTTTGTGTTGTGTATCACAATTTGGGCTAAAGCTCTGAGGATGTCATGGCCAGTCTCTAGACCCCAACAACTGCAGCATGTGATGGATTAGAGCCACTATGTGTGTGTGATCTTTATTTATATAGCATATTTCACACAGACCAGAGGCGCAAATGTGGGCATTTGTCTCTCACTCCACACTGAGTTGGTGGCAGGGAAGGAAAAAAGTGGCATTTTACAGCATGTGAGAACAAAAACTGTTCTTATTGTAATTGAACATGAACTCATATTAAGGATTTATCTGCTCTTCCTATATTTAGGAAATGCTGCTCTCTAGTGGAAGTCTACAAAAATTTCACAAGCTTTCAGTGACTAGATGTTTCATCCATATACTTTTTAACATTCTATTGAATACCATTGCAATCTATAGAATGCCAAATATCAACTGGTGATGCAACACTGACATTTCCCCACTTTGTGACCTTATTAGTGGGACGAATAAAGGATCTCCTCTAATTGTAATAATTCTTACCAAGTGGTAAGTCAAAAACACTTAACAATTCCGCCTTAAGCCCTAAACCTCAATGTTTCCACCCCCATGCTTCACAGTAGACAATCCGAGTAATTGACAGTCCGGGATCTCTGTTACAAGTTGATTCCATAGACTGTAAATATTAATATATTGATCCTGGACAGATAACCCTAACCATTACCCTATTGTTAACCCTAACTACAGTGAACCATATTCCTAACCCTGCTGCATCATAGGAGCTCGAGGTCAGGCAGCAAAGGAAGGGCTGCAGGCCTTGACAGTGGCTCTAGCAAACAGCGAAAATAAATATAACTTCAGTGTTTTCTGTAGTCATTTTGTGGTATTTTAATGTTGTTTATTTCCTGTGATGAAGCGTAGATGGAGATCTTATTAACTTCCAACATAGAGGGCTAAACAACTTTTAAACCCCTTAGATTCAGGGGTTCAGATGCCATTAGAGCTAACTTCCAAACGTAAATGCAATGAGTTTGCACACTTTTTCAATGACAAGGTTCAAGGCATCAAAAACGCCATTGTCTCCAATTCACAGATAACCATCCAACAGCCAGAAAGGCTCTCTGAGCTAACTTACTTTGCATCTGTAGATGATAAAAATGTCCAAGAAATAATCTCCAGTTTGAGCTCCTCCACATGCAGCCTGGATGTACTACCCACTAGATTTCTGAAGTCTGTTCTGGGCAGTCTGTTACCTTCACTCACACAGATAGTAAACATGTCCCTTCATTCTGGAATATTCCCAAAGGCCCTGAAAACGGCAGTCATCAGGCCCCTGCTAAAAAAGAGCAGCCTGGATGCTACGGTACTTAACAACTATCGTCCCATCTCAAATCTGCCATTTATGGGGAAAGTCCTTGAAAAAGTTGTCTACCTACAGCTTACTAGATTTCTTATAATTAACAACTCATTTGATATGTTTCAGTCCGGCTTTAGACCCCACCACAGCACTGAGACTGCTCTCGTCAAGGTTACAAACAATATCCGGCTGAACACTGACGCAGGCAAATTCTCAATCTTAATCTTGTTAGATCTGAGTGCTGCCTTTGACACCGTCGACCATGAGATCCTCTTACAGAGACTAGAGGACTGGGTTGGAGTCGCTGGCACCGCCCTAAGTTGGTTTAGGTCTTACCTTGAAGACAGGAAGTACTTTGTGGAGATTGGAGACTGTGTCTCAGATCATATGGCCCTGACCTGTGGAGTACCACAGGGGTCGATCCTGGGACCTCTTCTGTTCAAATCTCTACATGCTGCCGTTAGGTCAGTTAATACGCAGAAACGAAGTGTCCTATCATAACTATGCAGACGACACTCAGATCTATGTCTCACTGACTGCAGGAGAACATGGACCAGTGGACTCACTCCTTCACTGTATCCAACAGATCAGTGAGTGGATGCAAAACAACTTCCTTCAGCTAAACGCAGACAAAACTGAAATGATTGTCTTTGGTCCCCAGAAACAAAGAGAGAGCGTCATCTGTCACCTACAGTCTCTCTCCCTAAAACCTTCAAACAAGGTCAGAAATCTAGGGGTAATACTGGACTCAGACTTAAATTTTAATAGCCACATCAAATCAGTAACATCAGCAGCTTTTTACCATCTAAAAAACATTGCCAGGATCAAAAACATAGTGTCTAAAGCAGACTTGGAGATTCTTATCCATGCATTTGTCTCCAGTAGGTTAGACTACTGCAATGGCCTGCTCACAGGTCTCTCCAAACAGGCTGTAAAACAGCTGCAGTACATTCAAAATGCAGCAGCTCGAGTCCTGACTAGAACCAGGAAGTACGACCACATTAGTCCAGTCCTCAGGTCCCTGCACTGGCTTCCTGTGGCTCAGAAAATAGACTTTAAAACAGCTCTGCTTGTGTACAAGTCTCTCCATGGCCTCGCACCAAAATATATTAGTGACATGTTAGTCCCATATGAACCAGCCCGGACTCTGAGGAGCACAGGGACTGGACTCCTGTTAGTGCCCAGAGTCAGAACTAAACATGGGGAGGCTGCTTTTCAGATTCATGCTGCTAAAATCTGGAACAGTCTTCCTGAAGATGTGAGACAGGCCTCCTCAATGTCAATGTTTAAAACCAGGTTAAAGACAGTTCTGTTTAGCTGTGCATACAACTGAGGGATTTTATATTTTTATCTTTTTTTTTTAATGTACTGTGATTATTTATGATTTTAATGCTTTCTTGTTCTGTTCAGCACTTTGAATTGCCTTGTGTATGAATTGTGCTATACAAATAAACTTGCCTTGCCTTGCCTAGATGTATGTTCTACATGTGGGGGAATGGGTTTGGTCATTCCCAAGACCCAAAACAAGAGCAGCCTTATTATCCCCCACATGGTAATGGTCCACGGCTGCCCCCTTGGACCCCAGAGCAGGTCAGTGTGGTGCTAATGTTGCGTTCCGTTCCCTCCCAAAATTGAACAAAATAAAATAAACAGATCCAAATCAGATTTAAATCAAAATGCAAAATAATAATTAATGTATGATATTGTTTACTAAATATATCCTCAAAAATAAGCAGCCTCGTCTACATCTGCACAAAACTTCAACACGCATGAGAGACGCACTGAATTCTGGGATTCTGCAGGAATGGGGATTGGTGAACGCCATCTTTAAACCCCATTCGAGGCTAGCAGTAGACAGTCACAGTATTAACACCGGGGTGAAAACAACACAATCCACCCAGCGCATGAAAGATTCAGAGCCGTTTTGGATGTCCACCTCACCGTAACACTGGGACGGGGGACGGTCTCTTGGGATTGTGAGAAGATAGTACAGGGACAAGGGCAAGGACCGAAAATGTTGTTATACTAGACAGACAAAACAATAGGCGGAAAGACAACAACAACGGACTGGCTAGGTTAGCTTGCTGGCTAACTCCTTGGCTAGTCTGTTGCTAACCCATCATCTGCGTTGTTCCACATGCTAACATGAACGCGCACAGCGTTTCTTCCACGACAGTTATTTAAATGTTTGTTTTTGAATCTCTCTTCCTGAATGCCAATCAACAGACTTTGCAGATCAAGCCACCCTGGGATGCCCGTGTGGGAAAACAGGACATTTAAGCAGGATTGTTGCTGTTGTCGTTCTTGCTAAGCTAAGTCCTGACTTCACTTCTCCCCATCGGCCCAGTCGGAGATGCGTGGAAGATGTCGGTGTCGGGGCTGAAGGCCGAACTGAAGTTTTTGGAGTCTATTTTTGACCCAAATCACGAACGATTTAGGATAATTGACTGGAAACCAGACGAGCTAAGCTGCCAGTTTAATGTGACCAGAGAGAAGCTGTTGATCATACACTGTAACATTACGGTAAGCGATCACCAACATCACACTCGGGACTTGTTGTTACGTTAGTTACTAGCAAGCTAATGTTAGCTGGCTAATGTTAGCTGGCTAACAAATACAACCCAAACAATCAATTTGAGTCCAGAGTCGTGTTTGTTATGGCTACCCATCTGTTTTTTTGTTTTGTTAGATTTATCGAGATCGTCCCTGACTGAATGTCAAAGCGAAAACATGTTTGGTCTTTAATTTAAATCCGGAACTAGCTTCGTCGATGCTACCAGACGTACTGACGTTATGTCATATGTGGAAAATGACAATCCACAGTGGGTCAGCGCTGTGCTCCTAAAGCTCACTTCTGTTGGTTTAGACACATGATCGTGCCGACACGAGAACGATTCTTTATGCTAGGCACTAATGTTTACATATTTGTCATGACTTGAACGTATAGGTAGAACATCTCTAAGAACGTTTGTTATTGTTGGGCCTTTTTGAAGGGATGTGTGGTATTTAATACCGGAATAAGGGAGAGACAAAATTCACGTCCGTCACCTGCTTCTAGTGAAAATGGTCTTAAATCGTCAGTTTTCCAGAATATGATATGATCTTTTAATTTATTCAATGCAGCGATGGAAAAACAATTGCCCACCCCCGCCCCCAACAGCTACTCCGTTACCTTTTTACAGTTTAAATGTGTTTTTTGTGTTTTAGGAGTCCTATCCATCTACATCACCAATATGGTTTGTAGATTCAGACGACCCATCTCTTGCACAAGTTTTAGAGCGGTTGGAAGATGTGAGGAAAGGCAGCACCCTGGTAGGTCACTGGCCAATCAATCTTGTTATAGAACCCTTCACACACACACACACACACAGTATGATTTGGTCTTTTCCAAAAAAAATAAAAATAAAATGCAGAATACAAAAGAATGGCATAACCAGATTTGCATATTGGATCATTACAAGTGACGGACAATTCAACCCCTGTCACCTGAATGATCTGCAAGGCTGATTATTACTGTTATTGTACACGTTGGTTGGAATCCAGTTAATGCTGTAAAGAATGTTGTTGGCTAATTTAAATATAACAACATAAATATTGTTTGTTTTTTAGCTTTTACAACAACTAAAGAAACTAATTTGTGACCTTTGTCGGCTGTACAACTTACCCCAACATCCGGATGTTGAAATGCTTGACCAGCCATTACCTGCAGGTCCCGTAGGACAAGATCGAAAGGTATTTTCTGAAAATCTAATCATGCTCACTCGCTTAGTCATTTTTTCCACATTCCTTATGCTTAAAACGTTCATGTTATGAAAACCATTTAAATGTTCTAAATTTATGTTGTTTTTTTTTCTTAGCATGGGATGGATGAAGTTACATCTGAGGAAGAAGAGGAAGAGGAGATGGGAGAGGCAAGATTAAAATTGTCATTTTTTTCATATCAATAACCTTTTATTTTAATTTTTTAAATACATACATTTTACATGTTCTGTAGGACATAGAGGATCTAGACCACTATGAAATGAAAGAGGAAGAACCTGTGGAAGGAAAGAAATCAGAGGATGATGGTATTGAAAAAGAAAATCTAGCCATCTTGGAGAAAATTCGCAAAAACCAGCGGCAAGACCATTTGAATGTAAGTGATGTAAGTTGTGCGTTTTAACATATATTATGCATGCATATCCATAAAATCTTAAAATATTTATATTTTTTATTGGTTTATCTTTTTGTTTACATCACTGTGCATAAGGTTTAAAATTTAAACAGTTCATTATTCATTTTTGGGAAGGACATTTGCATTTTTGAATGACCCAGAACACTTTTAACAGGGAGCCGTGTCTGGATCAGTGCAGGCATCTGATCGTTTAATGAAGGAGTTGCGAGAAATCTACAGATCTCAAAGTTACAAGACAGGTGCCAAATAAAATTCTTTGGTCATAGTATTTCTCATTATTAACATTGTTGCTGCATAAAAAGACAGTTTGGGATGTAACTCTGAAATTGTTTTTGTAGGCATCTACTCCGTGGAGCTTGTTAATGACAGTCTGTACGAATGGCACGTCAAATTAAGAACGTAAGTGAATGAGGGTGAGTGAATGAGGGTGAATGAATGAGTCTGTGTTTGTGAGTGCGAATGTGGGACACCGAATGGAAAATAGCCCACGGCTACGATCTGGAGTGATGTGTTCTTTAACATACAGTGGGGCAAAAAAGTATTTAGTCAGCCAACGATTGTGCAAGTTCTCCCACTTAAAATAATGACAGAGGTCTGTAATTTTCATCATAGGTACACTTCAACTGTGAGAGACAGAATGTGGAAAAAAAACTCCAGGAATTTACATTGTTTGATTTTTAAAGAATTTATTTGTAAATTATGGTGGAAAATAAGTATTTGGTCAACAACAAAAATTCAACTCAATACTTTGTAACAGAGGTCAAACGATTACTATAGGTTGTTACCAGGTTTGCACACAGAGTAGCTGGTATTTTGGCCCATTCCTCCATGCAGATCTTCTCGAGAGCAGTGATGTTTTGGGGCTGTCGCCGAGCAACACGGACTTTCAACTCCCTCCACAGATTTTCAATGGGGTTAAGGTCTGGAGACTGGCTAGGCCACTCCAGGACTTTCAAATGCTTCTTACGGAGCCACTCCTTCGTTGCCCGGGCGGTGTGTTTGGGATCATTGTCATGCTGGAAGACCCAGCCACGTTTCATCTTCAAAGCTCTCACTGATGGAAGGAGGTTTTGGCTCAAAATCTCACGATACATGGCCCCATTCATTCTTTCCTTAACACGGATCAGTCGTCCTGTCCCCTTAGCAGAAAAACAGCCCCAAAGCATGACGTTTCCACCCCCATGCTTCACAGTAGGCATGGTGTTCTTGGGATGCAACTTAGTATTCTTCTTACTCTAAACACGACGAGTTGGGTTTATACCAACAGTTCTTCTTTGGTTTCATCTGACCACATGACATTCTCCCAATCCTCTGCTGTATCATCCATGTGCTATCTGGCAAACTTCAGACGTCCCTAGACATGCACTGGCCTCAGCAGGGGGACACGTCTGGCACTGCAGGATTTGATTCCCTGTCGTCGTAGTGTGTTACTGATGGTAACCTTTGTTACTTTGGTCCCAGCTCTCTGCAGGTCATTCACCAGGTCCCCCGTGTGGTTCTGGGATATTTGATCACCGTTCTCATGATCCTTTTGACCCCATAGAATGAGATCTTGCGATCGAGGGAGATTATCAGTGGTCTGGTATGTCTTCCATTCTCTGATAATTGCTCCCACAGTTGATTTGTTCACACAAAGCTGCTTGCCTATTGTAGATTCACTCTTCCCAGTCGGGTGCAGGTCTACAATTCTTTTCCTGGTGTCCTTCGACAGCTCTTTGGTCTTGGCCATAGTGGAGTTTGGAGTCTGACTGTTTGAGGCTGTGGACAGGTGTCTTTTATACAGATAACGAGTTCAAACAGGTGCCATTAATACAGGTAACAAGTGGAGGACAGAAGAGCTTCTTAAAGAAGAAGTTACAGGTCTGTGAGAGCCAGAGATCTTCCTTGTTTGAAGTGACCAAATACTTATTTTCCACCATAATTTACAAATAAATTCTTTAAAAATCCTACAATGTGATTTCCTGGATTTTTTTTTTTCACATTCTGTTTCTCACAGTTGAAGTGTACCTATGATGAAAATTACAGACCTCTGTCATTATTTTAAGTGGGACTAAATACTTTTTTGCCCCACTGTATACAGTACCTACGAAATGAATAAATAAATGTATGCATCTGTTCATTTCTGCAGAGTGGATCCCGACAGCCCATTGCACAGTGATCTACAAGTTCTAAAGGAAAAGGAAGGGATGGATTATATCTTATTAAACTTTTCCTACAAAGTAAGTCAATAATAATGAAGTAGTAAAACTGTTCTTCTCACACAGTCAAAGGATTTTCTGTCAACTTTACAGAAGTTTGTGATCTGGAAGGATGACTACTTTTTGAAACTTCTTCTGTGATAGATCAATTCTAATTTTTAATTTTGATTTATTTAACAATTTTTGCAGGATAACTTTCCATTCGATCCACCATTTGTCAGAGTTGTTTCGCCAGTTCTGTCTGGAGGGTGAGTATTTGTCATTCTTAGTTGTGTAAATAAACAGTTTTACTGTAGTCATACATTTCTGTCTCTTGCAGATATGTTCTCGGTGGAGGTGCCCTCTGCATGGAACTTCTCACCAAACAGGTGAATTGTTTATTTGCATTCAATCAACATCCATCCATCCATTTTCTTCCGGAACGAAGGTCAAAGCCTGGTCCAAGCCCTGGTGACCCAAGCTGTCTGCCCATTCTAATTAATAGCCAGGGCTCATTGGCTCCTGTCTATTGCTCAACAGAGTCAAGTTAACAATCCACTTTAACCATCACCTTCTCATCTCTCATCGCTTCACACTGGTTCAGATTGTGTTTAAAGTTGCAACCCTGAACTTCTCACCGCCCTAGCATGCACCCTCATAGATTTTAGGACTAGTATTATTCCTCTTACATGTTTTTGACATTACAGGGCTGGAGCAGTGCCTATTCTATTGAGTCTGTCATCATGCAGATTAATGCCACTTTAGTCAAAGGAAAAGCCAGAGTTCAGTTTGGAGCGAATAAGGTAATTGAGCACTTTTTCAGGTAATCATAATGGTATATTTGCATGGTCCCAAGTATGAGTGTGAATGTTTGACTTCAGTGTAGCACTTAAAAGAGGCTTGTGTTTTTGACAAGCCTGTATAAGTGGAAGTGGCTAGTTTCAAGCGGTGTGCAAAGATAGATTTTTAAATATTACAGATTTTTGTAATATCAATGTTTGGACATAGATTTTTCTGTTTTTTTGTACATAAATTGAGATTTTGTAGTATTATATTCCAATATATTGGTATTTTATAATGGTCGGAGATTCACACATTGAAAATAGTTTGACTATTTTCAGCTTCTATCGAATTAAAAGTGCCCTGTTTTGTATTGTTATGTGGCCTATGTATCAAGGTACAAATGTTTATTGGCAAATTCTTATAAAGCCCTAAAAGTTTCACTCATCAGAAATACTGGTGGAATTCATAAATATTTTTGTCTACTAAATGAAAATATGGGGAAGACATTTTCAAGACAATGGGGGGATTTAAATTCATGAAATATTGTTTGGGGATTAAATACGATATGAGAAATGATGGCTCTTTATTGGTTTATTGCACTGTAATAATGTTTTCACATATTTTTGTTTACAGAATCAGTACAATCTTGCCAGAGCACAGCAGTCCTACAAATCTCTGGTTCAGATTCATGAAAAGAATGGTGAGTAGTAGATTGTTCTCCTCTGTCATACCAATGCATTTTAAACCTCATTTACTGAAACAAGATCTGAGATAATCTTGTGATGCGCTCGATCACAAGAGAGCGGTAATGCATCGAACATAGAAAATAAACATGTGGCCACCCTAGACCATTTTATAGTTGTTATGCAATTACAAAATGTTACAAAAGATTTAAGAAGAAACAAAACTGATAAACTCCTCTCTTGATTTATTTCCAGGCTGGTACACACCCCCAAAGGAGGATGGCTAGCACAGACTTTTGCCTTTTCCGGCCGTGGGACCCATATGTCTTAGTTCACTTAACTCATGACCAAACTGTCTTTTGAGGACTTTATTACACACGAGTTTTAACTCTACTCCAAATCCCCAGAAGACTCAGAATGAAGTCCAGCCCCTCACCACAAACTGCCCTGTCTGCAGTTGCTATTAGGGGCAGTCTCTTCCCAGATATTTATCTATCAGTATCTGTTGTTGAGTTTTCCATAACATCATCTCCCTATCCTCCTGGAACGAACTAATACCTGAAACAGTTCTTTTGTTTCTGCGTGCGACATGCCAAGGTGGCTTTCTGGCTGTACAGTTGAAAGTTTTGGCATGGCTTTGTTTGAAATGGGGGTTCGAGTGCCTCCCTGACCACAGACTGAGCCTGATGACTTGTGGCTACCTGGAAGGCATCTTTTTCTGCTGGTAAAATTCATTGTTTTGCTTCATGGATGACCTCTGTGATGTTTTCTTGTATTGTCTATAGAATGCCAAGATCCCTTCTAAACAATTATACTGCTTCTGAGGACGACATATTTTTAAAAGCTTTTATATCATAATGTAAAGCCTTGAGTGTGATGGGGTACATGAGCTAAGGAGCAGCCCATATAGAATAAGTCGTTTTGATTTGGGGGCACTACTTTTGCCAACACCAGCATCTGAACCACTGTTTAGGAGGGGACTTAAAACTCGACTAGGACTGGGGATTTGCTATGTTCGGATCACACTGTATAATGTAGTTGAATATATCTCAAATGTAAACATGTAAATTTGTATTTCTGAAAAAGGATTAAATTGTTTATATTGGAACCTTGTAGGTCCTGGACAAGTAAGAGACTAATTTAACATGTAACATTTCACAAGCTGGGGGAATTTGTCTCTAAGCCAGTTTAGAAAAGGAGAACGCTATTGCAGAACATAATGGCTACATGGGTACCCATAGCTACTTAATTTCTCATCATCTTTGTGTAACTATACTCGAGTAATTGGAAATCGTTCAGTTCATGTATCCATTCAATGGCACCTCTTCACTTTGAACAATAATAATAGGCACAGCTGTTTCTGATGGGATATTCTGATCACTCAAACCACATGAACCTCATGACTATGCAGCAGTGATGTTTCGTAAACCTAAAGTCAGCTCAAAAGTGTAACAGCTGCGTAGCTCTCACTGCACCTCCCTACATTTAAGTGACCTTGGTCATTGATTGTTCTATTGACCTCATGCTAAAGTTTCACTTTTAAATTCATAGCAATAGCATTGCTTCTGTACTACGTATGTCTGGTATCGCGTTCGACACAAATTTGTCTACAGTGTTCGCTCAGGTTTAATAAACGCCAATCACAGGAATGACCCAGTGCTCGCCACCTTCATCATGGGGAAGCTTTGACGTAATGTGAATGTTTAAGAAAACAGTGTGGAACTGGAGCATTCCATTTAATGCATTGTGTCAGTCTGATGTGGCGTTGTTCTATTGGTATATTGTTCTCAAAAGTAAGTTCAGTTGTGAACACTCAGTCATTCCTAATTGCAAACCTTTCTCACTTAACTAACCTCACAGCCAGAGCATATTTGTCTTTCTGGAGTATTCTGTATTTATTACTTTACTCTTTCTCAACATGGCATGATTGTTAATTGTTTAATTGGTGAGGCGCCTCATTGTGAATATTGTTCAGGCCAACTGTTTTTTTTTTTTTCAGGAGAATAAACTCAGGAATACTTACCACACACAAATAAAGGATCCAATCAATTATTACAATGGAGGTTTTTATTGCAGATTTCTCCCCAAAATTGGAAAGTGTTCCGATTATATATTCGGACAGATTTTGCATGTCAATATTGGATTTTGAAGTTATTGCAGCAATCTGCAATTGTGTTGTTTTAAATTATTCGATTCTTGAATCTTTGTGTCCTGGAATTACAAGTACCCATGTATGAACAAGATGGTGGTTACGATAAAAAGCCCTGTGATTCATAGGAGTAATAGTTGGCTGATGGTTTTGATTAAATTAATTTGACTAACAATTTATGCCAAGCAGAATGATGGCTGAAATACCTTGTTTTACAGCCACAGTGGTCGGGTTTAAAGTTATGCACTGTTAGCATGCTTTGGTTGGTATCTTTTTCCCTCATCGCAAGGATGGTTTTGACCATGTAAAGAAATTTGTAAACTTGCATCAAGTTTATGAATAAAGAGATACCTGAAATTGTTGTCCCTGTGGTCTTCTTCCTATGGCACAATCCGCTGTCAGTAGGTTCAGGTTGTAATGTGTAGAGATAATGATGGCTCCATAGATGATGAAATTTATGAACTGTGGACTAAGTTCAGTTTTAAGGAGATTGAGTGTATCCTCTACTTTGGTTTGCTGGCAGTTGGATGATTTGATATTTTTGTGGGCCTCTATTTATTTATTTTCAAAAGAAATAATGGATTAATTATATTTGAATCCATTTGTTCAAAATGACACGCCACAGTGATTGAAAGTAAGAGGAACACACCCTAAATTAGGGTCTAAATGACCTAGGGATGGCTAAGTTAAAAATTGTCATTATATTGGCTCGAAGAAAATATGACCAGGGTATATTTGAATCACACGAGACACGAGAATGTGCAACATTCTGGACAACGTTTTTTGGGAATTCAGTTTAGACCAATACGAAACATGCTGCTGCTGGTATCGCCAACACAGGGGGAAATCTGATGTCTCTGACTTGGCACATTTGGAATTGCATTTTCCTTCCTTTACAGTAGTTTTCGCACCGACATCACATTAACTGCCAGAACCGCAATCAGGTTTCTTGAACGCCCACTAGATGGCAGCGTCTCCCTTTGCTGAGAGTGCCAAATATTGACGTTCCCCTTGAAAGAACTGCAGATAAAATATATATTATCTATGTAGTCTATGGATGTTTCTTTGCTGAAACCCACCCAAAAATGGGTAAAAATGTAAAAAAGTGTGTATTAAATGTCTACTCACATCCTTCTATGTGAGTAGACATTTAATACAAGTAACAAGTTTCTTGGTTTGCGCCACATGTTTCGATGCTCCTGTCATAGGCCATATCTTGTGTATTATTTAATCTTTTCTCATTAATACGTAAATTAAATGTGCTTCTAAGTCCTACTTTTAATTTCGAACACACTCACTGTGTATGACACAGACACATGGCGAAGATGGATCATGAGGGAGGCTGCGCCATCTTGACCTCCGCATGGGTCAGTCCATGGATCTATTATAATATCAGGTCAGTCAAGTCTTTTACATTTGCCTACTTAGTATAACGTGAATAGTGAATAGGCAACTAAAATCATATTAGAATATTGTTATACTATTCACAACTAAGTTTTAAGTATGATTTTTTTTCCCATTGAGTCCCTCTGATTCCTCCTATGAATCTATATAGATATATTCTTTATTGATCCCTGTAGAAGAAATGTCAGTTGTCCAGTAGTAGTAAAAACACATCCATCCACAAAAACAAAACAAATAAATTGATTAGTCTAAAAAGCTAACAATTGTAATGTAGTGTACCAAACGGGAGAGGGATGAAAGACACAGAAAGAGGCAAATTGTAGTTGGAGACTATCGAAAAGTGAGGTCCCCATTTATTTATAGAGGACCAGAACCCGCGAAACATAGGTCACAAGGGAACACGCATGCGCACTAGTATAATACTAAGAAGTTTACATACTCCCCCCCCCTTTAACAAGACATGTCCTCATGTCTGTAAATGAAAAAAAAAAAAAAAAAAAAAAAATGCACCACACACACATAAAACTACAAAACAGCATCAAAGTCCCAGCGTCCTCCAAGAACCAAACACTGGCGATACTGCAGCAGCCTGCACTCCCCACAGCAGGTAGACGACTGGCGCAGAACCGGAGCACGAATTCCCCCGACCGGAGCACAGGAAATCAACAGAACGTCCAAAACACAGGACCGTAGGACGCGCTGGGAACATCAGAATTACGGACTCCGAACACACGTCAGCAGGCACCCCAACAGGCATAACCACATTCTTGTGGCTCCTGAGGGACGGCGCTGGATTCGGGCACCAATGTGCACATGTCACGGTCTGATCCTGGACATCAGCGGCCCTGAGCCACGTGCTCAGTCCGGTACTGGAACGTCTCCCCCGGCGGCAGCACTCCGTCACACCAGTCCTTGACAGTCACACCAACCTCAGAACAGCACAGGCCACACCATCACTCCAGTCCCACATCAACACAAAAATATGGCGAGACCATATTGACGACTGGCACCGTCAGGTCAGACTCACCCACCAAAAAAGTACAAAAAGCAAGGCACATGTTTGCCACTGCCGCCACCACCACCGTACATCAACTCAGGTGGCGACGGCGGCACCGCTGCCACCAATGTAGCGTATTAACAGTTACCTAATGTAACTTAAGTTCTACAAATAGGTGCGTAGTCCCTTAGCGGACTTCGCTAGTGGGATATCACGTGACCCCCAGGTCACACGCCAGAGAGATCAAAATCATTTGCTCCAATCACTAGCGACCCTCCTCTATAAAGGCCCCTGCACAAGGCCGCACCCCCTCTTGAACTCTGCCAAGCCGGGCTGGCCTGATGGGCTCGTAGCTAAAGGACTACGCACCTATTCGTAGAACTTAAGTTATATTAGGTAACTATTAATTCTACGTCATGGTGTACGTCCCTTAGCGGACTTCGCTAGTGGGACACAACGCGGAGGCCGTAAGAACATGTACTCCCAGCAGGCCAGCAAAGAGTGATTGGAGCCCCGTCCGAGCAACCCTCACACAGTGAGAAGACTCAGGACAGAAACCAAATCCAAGCGTGTTACGGGGCCGCTCCTCCCAAGGACACCCCCAAGTAACACCGACCGAAAGTCACCCGTAGTCCCAGGACGCCTCTCCCAAGAGCTCCTGACGTGGACCACCCAACTGACCAACACCCCTAACACCGCACCTACAGGACGCCTCTCCCAAGAGCTCCTGAACTAGG